GATTTTAAACTTTGGAGCAATGCACTGTGGTAGGATTTGGAATGAGTGCAAGATATGCTTTTTGTGAAGTGAGAGAAGGGAAATTTTGAAAGAGAAGTTTATCCTGATATCAGCAAGATTATTTTTAAGAAAGAATATACATGAAATTTGAGGATATAAAAATTGATTTCTTTAGAGCCTGTGTATCCCTTGGAAAGTTATTATCTACCAGGAGCACTTGACATCCAGTTTAAAGACTAATTATTAGAAGCTGTTATGCATTGAAATTTTCGGCTGTGAATTACTAGATTCAGTAAGCCAATGAGAAGCCTTTCCCTTTTTTTCTATAGATGGCAGAGTTCTTAGTTATATAAAGAAAGAACAGTCAAAAGAAAATTTGTTAGATTTCACTATTTCAATGAGAATTTCTTTAATCATATGCTATTAGTTAAAATATTCTCTAATTTCTACTTATTGATACATCTAAAATGGTGCTTCTTTTTTAGTTTGTAAGTTGATCAGTTGCTAAGAAATGATCCTTTTGGTTTATTTAAATGATTTAAATTTTATTTTCTGTAAGTCTACTTCCACCTGCCATCTAGTTTTATGTTATTTATCATGTTTTATTTTCTGTTCTTTGTGTAATCATCTGTTTTTTGATTTGCACAATTAATTCAATTTTCTGTTTTCATTTTTTCGCAGTGGTCTAGAAATTCAGCATGCTAACCGTTTTTCTAGAAGTTCTCTTTAAATTTTTAGCAAACATGCTGAAATATATTTTCTTAGTAATTTCAAAAATTACTATCTTTAACTTCCCCTTCCTAAAAAAGATAAAGACATTTAACATACTGTCTACTTTCTACCTCCATCCATTCTTACCTCTGAAACTGCTGGGAATCATTTGGAATTTTTGTTTCCAAATTCTATTAATTTTTTATTTTCTTCAGATTATGCCTCTTTGAATTTCAGATCTCTTTACCTTATACCTACACATTATCAGCAATTATTTTTATTTTAAAAAAGATTAATAAAATAACAATCTCAACAATCTTATGGCAATTTTGCCTAAGAAAAAGGAGAGAAAAGAAAAGAAATACAAGTAAACATCGAGAATAGAAAAGAAATTTAAGCACAGATACGTAGAGGGTCAAACAATAAACCTTATAGATTAATAATACAGTTGGGCACAGTGGCTCATGCCTGTAAACCCAGCACTTTGGGAGGCACAGGTGGGTGGATCTCTTGAGGCCAGGAGTTCAAGACCAGCCTGGCCAAAATGGTGAAACTCCCCGTCTATACTAAAAACACAAAAATTAGCCAGGTGTGGTGGCTCATGCCTCTAATCCCAGCCTCTTGGGAGGCTAAGGCAGGAGAATAGCTTGAACCAAGAAGGCAGAGGTTGCAGTGAACCGAGATTGTGCTGTTGTACTCCAGACTGGGCAATAGAGTGAGACTTCATCTCAAAACAACAACAAGAAAATGATTAATAATATGAACTACTTTTAGAAAATACACTTGAAAATCTAGATGAAACGGATGATTATCTGGGAAACTACATTTTCAACAAAAATGTAATTATAAAAATTGATACAAAAGATATAAAACCCAATTAGATTAATGGCTGTGGAAAACAATGACTCTGATTTTTTTTACTGGACTTTTCACCAGTCCTTAAGAGACAGTTTCTGAATTATATGAATTGCTGCAGAGCCAAGAAACATGTGGAAATATTTCTATTCATTTATGAGGCTAATTTAAATTGATTTCAAGACTAGGTAAGTAAACACATAAAAAAGAAAACTATACCTCAATCTCATGAATCTTCATACCAAGTTATTTTGCTAACAGAATATTAGCAAATTTATCTGATAGTGTATTAAAAGAGCAGATAGGTGGAGTCTGTTGTAGGAATGTAAGTGATTCAAACTGAGGCATTCAATTAATATAATTCAGTGTGTCACCCATAAATATACAATCATTTTAATAAATGATTAAACAAATATGATCATCTTAATAATGCTGAAACGTTATATGATAAAATCAACATTCCTTCCTCAAATCTCTGAGGAAGCTGAAGACAAAATGAAACTCTTAATTTTATATCACAAGTAAGCATCAAATAGGAACAAAAGAATGCCTGCTATTATTGCAATGACAGCATTGTCTGGGGGTTGCACTAAAGCATGAAGAATTGAGGTATCAGTATTGAAAAGGAAAGGTCAGAATATTTATATGAATAATAGGATTGTTAGAAAATCCATGAGAATCAACTGGAAAGACCCCAGAACTAGTGTTTATTAATGTAACAAGATAAATTGTAAATACTTTAAAAGCAAAGGTCTGCCTATGGATAAGTAGAAAATGAAAAAGAGATTTATAGAAGTTACAAGAACTAACAACAAAACAAAAAATAGGAATACACTTTGTAAGAATTGAGACCTATGTGAAAAACCTAGTCTTTACTAAAGCTAGAAGGCCGTATCAATGAAGAGACTTACCGCAATCCTGAATGTGAAGACAAAATAGAAATAAAGTTATACATTAAATGCTATGCTAGGAAAAATCTTTCTGTTTTCTTGGTGTGCATGTGGGGTGAGGAGAGAGATTTGACTTCCAAATTCATCTGAAATAAAATCCATGTGGCACTGGCACAAGAATAGTCAAAGAGGTCAATGACACAACTACAGCAGCAGCTATCAGCCTTGGTGATAGATTGAAATCACTTTGGAACTTAAAAAAATACTACCCATTCTACTTTAATTGATGTGAGGTGAGGTTCAAGTTTTGCTACATCTTAAATGTTTCCAAAGGCAATTCTAAGGGATACCCATGGTTGTAAATTACAGAACTATAAAGATCGAGAAATAGCATGTGCACACATAGCATGATAAATAAGAAAGCCTTTCAAATCAGCAGGAAAAGTTATTGGGACAACTACTTTAGGGACAAAAATAAAGCTAGATTTCTTACCAATACTAAACAGAAATAAATTTCAGACAGACAAGAACTGTGATATACGATAAATACATAAAATTAAAAAAGAATAATATAATAAGAAATAAATTAAAAAATAGAAAAAATTGAATAAAACTTGTAAGAAGAAATCTAAGCTGCCCACAAAGATTTATGTATATATAATTTTAAGAAGTCTAATAATTTTAAAACACATGTGCAACAGTGGAGAAATAACTTAGTTTTCTTTGCCAAAGTTTGATGCAGAACTATCTACAGAAGAATTGCCTGCAGCTTTGTTAAAAACAGATTACTTATATTTTAAATGACTTTTTTTTTTGTATATTGTATGCTATTCTTCTCCACTAGAAAGTATATTCACCAACAAATATATTTCTACAAATATCAACTTTACAATTTATCTTTTCACTTTCCGTAGGGTAGTTTTTAGTAAAGCTACATTCTGAATTTAATTTTTGTTTTTTATCAGTCTTAAAATTTATAGTTTATACCCTCTATGTCCACTTAATTTTTCCCCTAACTTGAGGTTTCAAGGATAGTTTTCCAATTCATACTTTAAATCTTTTGATTTTAATGACTATTTCATTAATTTATCAGGAATTGAGCTCTATGGCATAGGAAATATTTTATTTCATTTAAATATTTTTGTATTTGCATACTTTAAAATGTGTTATTAAAACAAAAAATAGTAATATACTAAAAGTAAGTCTTCCATCTAGTCATGAGTTCTGTTTTTCTCTGTCTCTGTTAAAAATGTTACTTTTAGGCTGAGTGCAGTGGCTTACTCCTGTAATCCTAGCACTTTGAGAGGCCAAGCTGGGTAGATCGCTTGAGGTCAGGAGTTCTAGATTAGCCTGGGAAACATGGTGAAACCCCGTTTCTACTACAAATACAAACAAATTAGCCAGGCATGGTGGCATGCACCTATAGTCCCAGCTACTTGTGGGGTTAAAGTGAAAGGGTCTCTTGAGCCCAAGAGGTCAAGGCTGCAGTGAGTCGAGATCACACCACTGCACTCCAGCCTGAGTGACAAAATGAGACCTTGTTTTAAAACACAACAACAAATATATATATGTATATATATATAGTACTTTTTTTTGCTTTTTGAGATGGAGTCTCGCTCTGTCACCCAGGCTGGAGTGCAATGGTGCAATCTCAGTTCACTGCAACCTCTGCCTCCCAGGTTTGAGCCATTCTCTTGCCTCAGCCTCCTGAGTAGCTGCGATTACAGGCACCCACCGGCCATCTTGCCCAGCTAATTTGTGTGTGTGTGTGTGCGTGTGTGTGTGTGTGTGTGTGTGTGTGTGTGTTTGAGATGGAGTTTTGCTTTTGTTGCCCAAGCTGGAGTGCAATGGCATGATCTCGGCGCACTGCAACCTCCACCTCCTGGGTTCAAGTGATTCTCCTGCCTTAGCCTCCTGAGTAGCTGGGATTACAGGTACCCACCACCACGCCCGGTGAATTTTTTGTATTTTTAGTAGAAACAGGGTTTCACCATGTGAGCCAGGCTTGTCTCAAACTCCTGACCTCAGGTGATCCACCTGCCTCGGCCTCTGAAAGTGCTTGGATTTCAGATGGGAGCCACCATGCCCAGCCTAAAAAACTGTACTTTTTTCTTCTAAAGGAGGCAAACAATTAGTTCTTGGCTCTGTAGTTATTATTTAATCTCATCGTTTTCTTCACAATACTACTCTTTAAGAGGGCAGAAAATTTAAAGGTGATTTTTTTCCTTTCCTTTCCTTAAACGAGAGTTAAAGACTATCATGAATTTTTGATGTACCATTAAATGTGAATTTCTTAGCCAAAGCTAAATTAGAGGCCAGTGATATAATAAAATAGCTGTGGAGTATGGCAACAAAGAAGTTATAGTTGTTACCTTTCTTATTTAATTTTTTAACAGTCATGAAACAAATGTTTTTTAGCACATGGAGGTACCAATTTTAAGATGTAAAAATTAAGGAATAAAATTGAATATGAGTATATGTTGTGATTTATTCAGATATAGGATTGACTGATTCTTCACATCATTAAGAATGTTCTGTCTTCAGGGGTCCTGCCAGAGCTAGAACTATGGCTTATTTTGGAGAAGGAAAAGGACCCATCCATGTGGATAATGTGAAATGCACAGGAAATGAGAGGTCCTTGGCTGACTGTATCAAGCAAGACATTGGAAGACACAACTGCCGCCACAGTGAAGATGCGGGAGTTATTTGTGATTATTTTGGCAAGAAGCCCTCAGGTAACAGTAATAAAGGTAAGTCACCTTCTGGAGCCCTAAACAAGTTAAAGAATAATAATTCCACTCCATTACTGGAAGCAGTACCTTGATAACAGAAATCCAGTACAACAAGAATGTATACAGTCCCATGTCTTGTGCTTTTACTTAGAGTCAGTAGTTCTTGGCAGACTTGCTTAGGTGGGGCTGACAGGGAGAACAAAGTTCAGGGCTAGGAGTGGATTTACGGGGCCTTGTAATCTCCAGGATTGTCCCTTTTTCACCTTTGTAGCCATTTCTATATTTCCTTTTTTAGATGAAATAAAGCTCTCATGCTTGTTGCTATCTTTGAAGAGTCAGAATTGGTATTTACTTCATAAAAAGGAAAGAAATGAAAATATAGAAATGATTAAAGGCATTTCTAAAGTCTTACTCCTATTTTAAATGAGGATGGTTTAAAACATGATTTTCAAAAAGAAAATTATCTTTTGTAGATTTTATTACCTGAAATTTAAAAATTTAAGGAAAATGATAAGTAATCCTTTTGCATGATAATGTTTCATACTTTAAATGAATAAAGTTCTTGAAAGCTTGGGTATATTAAATTTTTTTTTTTTTTGAGACAGAGTCTTGCTCTGTCACCTAGGCTAGAGTGCAGTGGCATCATGATCTCAGCTCACTGCAACCTCTGCTTCCCGGGTTCAAGCGATTCTCCTACCTCAGCCTCCTGAGTAGCTGGGATCACAGGCACCCACTACCATGTCTGGCTAATTTTTGTATTTTTAGTAGAGACCCGGTATCACCATGTTTTCCAGGCTGGTCTTGAACTCCTGACCTCAGGTGATCTGCCCGCCTCAGCCTCCCAAAGTGCTGGGATTACAGGCTTGAGCCACTGTGCCCTGCATCTTTAATTTTTATGAAGCAAATACTTCTTTAAATAACTGAGTGAGAAAATGAGCTATTTTGGAGAAATTTGTGGTACATTTTATGAAAAGAACAGTCACCTCTTTCTGGATTGAAAATTTATAGTTCTGATACACTGGATTTTGTTAAAATCAGGTGCACATATATTTGAGCACTCTCTTTTTCAAACACCTTGTAATAACTGCCAAAGACAATGAAATAAACGAATTGGATGTCATTAATATGATTCTTTGCTATCTAAGGAGCATTTGAGTATGGAAAGAACACTTATAATCTGTTATGCTTTATTTTCTATTCGTATATGTGTACATTTTTATATATGAATATGTGTGTGTATATACCTGTGTGTATAGATATATGTGTATATGCAAATGACTTGGCTAGCCTTTTCCTCCTGAATACTGATTATAACTTAATTTACTAAATTCCCTTCAATAATTTAAATTACCATTACAAATGGAATATAAGTGATTCTTTGGATTATGTGAAATCTGTAAGTAGTTGAAAAACATAAAAAATTCATTATTTATATGTTTGTTTTTAATGTCTTCCTAGAATTATAGCAGTACTCTTTTTGATACCTTTCCATGGTCATGGCAATGCTACCATACTTCAAGTAAAAATATTTCATCTGAGACTGGCTAGATTACAGAATCTGGCTTATTAACCAGTCAATTTTATGTTCACGCCCAGGACCTGGTGACATCTATAAGGTGATTCAAACTGAAGCCATTGGTTATTGGTCATTTGATGGACTCCTTTTATAAATGAACTTCATTTTGCTTTTAAATTTTTTAAATAATAGTATATGACTTTAAATAGAGTTTGCTTTCTTGCAGTCTGGTGCTTTGCCCCAGAATGATGTGAACTTTAAGTTTTGCCTGCTTTAAATATTACGTCATTCCTTTTCTTGGCATCATATACGTTGACCCAACTTGGAGCATTATTGGAAACTTATGTTTTTTCTAATATCTTTTAATGTACAGTGTCATCTAGGGGACTCATTCTAAGAGATGAAGGTTAAAGTTTGACAGCATACCTCTGAGATCATTTGGCAAATTAATCATCTGGGTACACATTGTTGAACCTCTTTCTCAATCAAGAAATAACTATTGCTGATTGCCTCATGGGTTCCCTTCTACCTGGTTATTATCAGAGACCAATAGTGTTGATTAGGTCTTCGTGTTCTTGGCACAATTCCTACCCTCCTCCTCTTGGATAGAAAAACAGTACATATCTATACTTTATATGCATGTATTTAGCCAAAGAAATAAAGTACCACTATGTAAATTCTCCTGTTTTCTCAGATATTTTAAAAATGAGTCATACTTGTTATATTTACCTTTCTTCATATATCACTTTTTCATATATTTTAAATTTAATTCTTCTCTTTTGTATATTATTGACAGAAGTCTGTTACCTTGGGAGGTTTGCCTGTATACCCTTAACCATAGTTTTCCACTTAAGTTGGCGTAGCAAACCCTTTCTGTATGTTATCAAGCTAAGTAAATGTAAATTCCGATCAGAATTCTAGCCTGGGAATGTGCTTTGCTCTTCTGAGTTACATTTTTATATGTGGCTTAGAACAGTGTTGCGGGTGGAAAGTAAGTAATTTAGGCCATTACTGTCTTTGCAGTTCTCTTATTTTGTTTAATGTTCCATATATTTTGTTCCATACATTACACAAAATAGCAGCAGCAGGAGATACGGGTACCTATCAGGATAAAGTACTGAACAGAGTCAAACCACTCAGCAGCCCATGAACCCCTCAGAGGTGAAGAATGGGAAACCTCATAATGTTTCTTGTCTACTTACAAATTATTGTCATTTAGTCAAATGATAAACTATTTTTGTTACAAGAAAAATTTTAATTTGCAGAGAAAAGGCATTTTGACATACAGGAGGAAGCATCAGTGGAGTATGCCACTTACCGTCTTACCCCTCCATCAGCAATGTGATAGCTTAATTAATGACCTGTTTCTGCTTCAGAGTCCCTCTCATCTGTTTGTGGCTTGAGATTACTGCACCGTCGGCAGAAGCGGATCATTGGTGGGAAAAATTCTTTAAGGTAAAAGTTTCTTCAAAAGAGAATTTTTATATGATAGAATTATCTTTATATATAGAGTGTTACAAATTGGGGATGTTCTATTATCACATAAGGGACTTGTACTCATTTTATTTTCTAAACTAAATTCGAATTTCACTGATAATTTCAATATCCTTTGACCTATGTTTTCAGACCATGTTCTTACATCACCAGCCTGATTTAAGAGATTAGATGTGTTACTGCAAAGTTATATGTCAGAAACAAAACAGTTTAACAGGAAACCTGGAAATGTGTATGACTACAGAGATTCATTTAAGTTAGAATGTATTTGTTTCAGACTTAACTCAGTTTAATCTAAATTTTTTGTTTGTAGAATTTACTAATGGAAAACCCATGCTTTATTAAATACATCTTCAGACTGCATAGGTGAGGCACAGCGAAGAGAGAAATTACATTTTAAACAATGAAATATAAAGAAGACAGCTTGTTTTTAAGAGTGTCAGATAGGTGGGATCCATACAAATGCCTATAGGCACATCTTCAAGAGTTGCTGATTCCGGGCCTGCTCAGAGTTGTGGTGTCTTCTTCTCAAAGTAGGAAGGGAGTTGCTTTTGCTTTCCTTTTCCCCCACCTGCAAGACATTAAAGTTACTAAAGCCATTGCTTTAACCAGTGTTTTCCTTTGCTTTTTTGTCTTTTACTGATGTTGATGTGTAGCTCATTTTCTTCTTAGGGGTGGTTGGCCTTGGCAGGTTTCCCTCCGGCTGAAGTCACCCCATAGAGATGGCAGGCTCCTCTGCGGGGCTACGCTCCTGAGTAGCTGCTGGGTCCTTACAGCAGCGCACTGTTTCAAGAGGTATGTGTCCACCTTCCCAAACAACCCAGTGTAGCTTCTACTCATCAGTTATTCCAATCCCCTCATGCTCTACAGCACTCAAGGTGCCACAGCCAGGCTGAACTTTCTTTGCTTGTGCCAGCAGCCCTGTGGAATGAGGGAGTGGCACAAGGAGCACAGAGAGCCCTTAGAAAGCCACTTGCTACCCTAGTGTTAAAGCAAACTCCAGATTTAGGAAGAACAGAAGAAGAGGGGTGTTTGGAGAGGAGGAAGGCAGCAGTGTCAGTGTTCCCCCCAAGACATATCTGAGGCTGAAATCATATCTTTGTAGAGGTAGAAGAGACTTCGGATTATTTGGCTATAAATGATAAGGAGTAGGGAATGCAGTTGTAGTGTTTTTGATCCTTTGAGTCTTGGTGTTTTGTACCTTTGAGAAAGTTAGATTGCATCTGTTTCATTGTTAGTTTCCTATAGTTTAGTCCTAATGATCTCTTCTTGTCCCAAACATTTTATCAGTCCTTTTTTATCAAGCCTTCTCAGTTCAGAGGAGAGGTCAGGAAGGGAAAATCAGTCCACCAGGGTCACAGAGCTCCTGGCGGGAGATCCTGCAGTAGAACCAGCTCTCCTTTGTCGAGTGCTTTTTTGTGGGCCTTGATCATTGGCCCTTTCCTAGCATTAATTTTGGTATTTAAATATGTATACAAATGCTTGTGAAAATACTGATAAGTATTAATGAATGTGTTGAGTACAGACTTTCATTATACTACTTTAATTTTGTGTGTTTGAAAATTGCCACAATGAAGTTTTAAAAAATGTCGAAACATTTTTACAAGCAGAAATTTGTTTTCTGTTTTTTCTTATGTAATATCATATGGTACGTACCCTTTGCCTCATTATATACTTGTAATCCATCATGCAGATTTGTTCCTTCACTTTAACTGCTATGAATTTTACCTGCTGTTGAAAGACTGAACCAGTTTTTTATTCTCCTATTGCTGTGTAGTTAGCTGCTTTCCATTCTTTCATTGGGAGAAAACAATGTTGCGGTAAACAATCTGTTACAAGTCTCACTGGGTGTGTGCACATGGGCATGTTTTTCTGAGTCCTGGGATATGGATTCCCTTTAATTTTTGAAGCATACCAATTTATCCTTTGAAGAAATTGTATCAGTTTATAACCCAGCAATGTTATATTCCTATTTCCTCATGACTCCATCTAACCTTGACACTATCAAAATTTAAAATTTTTTGCCAATCACAGAGTTTGGGGTTTCTTTTTAATTGTATTTCCCTGACTAATACCTTTCTCTTTCGTGAATTATTTGTTCATATACTTTGCCTGTCTATTTGTCATTGATTTTTAAATTTTTGGATATGTTCTATATGCTAAATTTTTGTTGTTAGGTGTTACAAGTACTTTTTCCTAGTTTGGACCATGTCCTTTTACTTGCTTATGGTCTTTTTCTTTCTTTTTTTCCCCATTTATTTATTTTATTACATTTTAGGTATTGGGGTACATGTGAAGAACATGCAAGATTGTTGCATAGGTACACACGTGGCAGTGTGATTTGCTGCCTTCCTCCCCTTCACCTACATCTGGCATCTCTCCCCTTGCTATCTCTCCCCAACTCCCCACCCCCCACCATCCCTCCCCTATTTCCCCCCAACTGACCCCAGT